AAGTGAAAACAAAAAAGTAGTTCGGTAGATGTCAACTTAAACTAGTTGCAATGTTTCAAGAAAAAAATAATAAGTAAATAATTGTCACTGAATCGTTGATAGATACAACAGGCAAGGATGAGATGGAAGATTTTGGTATTTTTACAGATAAATATTTAAGAATAATAAACTTGGATAAATACATGATCATTGACTATCTAAAAGATGAATTTTTCGCTAATTATGAAAAGGATAATGAAATAAAAAATGATGATGAAAGAGCATTATTTTTACATTTTATGAATAGTTGTATAAAAGTTTTTAGGAACACAGTAATTGAAGGTTATATCCATAAATGGAATAACAAATATGCTAATATTTTAGAACAATGGCTGATGTAAATATATTGGCTCAAACTTATAAAAAAGCATGAAAAATCAGTTTGTCAAAGCTAATATTAGGTAATTCAATCTAATGATTTAAAAATTTAAGGTTTTTTGATCAAAAGGTTGTGAGAAGTTATTAAATAGCTTTTAAATTAAACCTAAATAGGATTTTAGTGAAATTTGTAATAATATATAGTGTTGCATTATATTTTATTATATGAAAACCTTAGTAAGCTCGATTACACTATTGCAAGTTTAAATTTTCTGTTAAAACTATCAAAAAAATAGATAACAAAAACTTTATATATGATATAAAGAAAACCTAATTTATACAATTAAACAGTTTCAACTTTTTGGTTATTAGCAAGAGCATAGTAATTACTAGATCAATTTTATGCATAATATCTAACTCTAATAACAATAGTAATGTTATCATATCATTATTATTGCTACAAACTACATATGTTTTCTATTAATTAGAGATGTTATCCTGTTTACTTGCATTCAGTTCAACTTTGTTCGAAACTTGAACAAGTTAAACTCGAGTTTTTGTAATTATATGATTTTCACTATTAAATTTAAACTCAGTATGCTCAAATCATATTTGAATCGATTGAATGAGCTCAATTTATAATATTAAACTTTTTTTATTATTACTATCATTACAGCATTAATATGATGAACAAATAGTTTTTTTTTTTTTACTTTAAATGCTATTGCTATAACTATGATATTAATATAATAAAAAATAGTTTTTTTTGATTTTTAATTACTATCAATATTATTATGACATTAATATGAAGAATAGTCTTTTTTTAACTTTTAATTAGCAATATTATCATTAACATTTAACATATAACAAAAAATAATTTTTTTTTTGATTTTTAATTATTATCGTTATTATTATAGTATTAATATAGTTTTTTTTATTTTGACTTTTAATTACTATAATATTGATGCTGATATTATGATAAATGATTGTTTTTTTTTTAATTTAAAGCTAATTGTTATGATGTCTTTCTTTTTTTTAATACAAATATACAATTATCATTATTATTTTATTCATTAATGTTTTTTTATTACATTTAAACTTCAAATTATGAATGAAGAAAATGTACTTGAACAATCTATTGATCCAATTGAACTTATCTCTTCATTTTCAATATCTCAAAATACACTTGTATCTGAAACTCTTATGAAAATAACAAACCACTCTCCAAAATGATTAAAATCCGATTCCTTCTGGAATGAAGTTATTAAAAATAGTGACAAATGGCATTGCAAATATTGTAATAAAACTTATTTAATGAAGACAGATCTTTCAACTATTAAATTATATTTTAAACATAATCATATTGAAAAATGAAATGAACTTATAGCAATTATTAAGACAAATATTGAGCTATATAGTGCTGATAAAATTTTAGAAATAAATCAATCACTTGTAAAATGGGATATTACAGATTAGCAGACTTTTTTTCTTGTTGAAAATCAGGATTTTCAATAATTTATTAGCAAATTAACTTAATGATATTATTTGTTATTGAGACAATTTGTTTTACAAAGTGTTTTAAAACTATATTGTGATAAACAAATTGAGCTTTATAATTTTTTTAATATGAGTTATCAAAAATTTGCAATTACTACTGATATCTGGACCTTATGTACAAATCTTGGATTTCTTGTTATAACACTTCATTGAATTGATGAAAGTTGGTCTATGAAGCAGATATTATTAAATATGATACCACTTAATGAATGCCATACAGCCAATTATATTACTGATAAAATTTTAGAATCAATTGCATTTTATAACATTGGAAGTCATATTGT